TTTTCTCCTCTCATCCCTCTGTAAATAAATATTTCCCTTGTTATATCCACTGTACTTTTCCTGTGAGTGGGTGTGTTCACTCTGGAGGGTTTGGAACAGGTGCCCCTGCGGTGGAAGGGATTTCTCCTGCTGCATTCCTGTCCACGCCTTCTCTTGGCCAGAGCTGCCTGCAGAGCAGACTCCATCTTGGCCACGAGGGCGCTAAAGTTACACTTGGTGGCCCGTACGGGGACTTTGCAGTACACACACACACACACATACACCCCTATGTTGTGCACCCTGGACTCTTCTTCACAGAGCAAAGAAACTCCTGAGTGACTTTCATCTCAGTTAAAAAAAAAACGGAGAGAGGATTATTAGAAGACCTGTGCCAAGGGGCACGAATCCCAGTAACCAAAGCTGTGCTGGTGGCGGGGTTCCCAGAAGAGATGGAACCAAATGAAATTGAGGAGAGCTTAGATGCAGCTGAAATACTGGGGAGAGTAAAGATCCGCACCCTTATTTACAACCACAAAGTGAAGGGCATGGTAGCACTATGTACTCACTCCAAGGAAACAGATCTTGATAAAGTGCCCAAAGAGGTGCAAGTAGAAGGTATTCCCTGGACAATTCTGGGAGCAGAGCAGTCCCCTCCTAGTGTGCTTGTGTCACTTGAGGTGGATTCTTTAGCGCAGAAATTGCAAGCTCTGATGGTGGATGAGAAGTGGACACAAGAAGAATTAATTTTGGCATTAGGAGGGGCTCCAACACCTGCAGCACCCAGACTGATGGGATGGGCCAAAGAGCTGGGAAACGCTCTCAAAGATGCATTGAGGCCGGTATATAAAAGTGCTCCATACAAGCGGTTACGTTCATTCTCGGGGGTGTCACCTGTACCCCCAGGGGAGGAGGATTACGAGACCTGGAGGGATTTTACAGTGCCACTTGTCCAAGAGTGGGAATGTTCTGATGCTGAGAAGCGGAAACGTGTGCTTGAGAGTCTGAGGGGACCTGCCATGTGAATTATCCGAGCCCTGAAAAATTCTCAACCAGCTGCCACAGTGTAAGACTATTTAACCGCTCTTGAGAGTGTCTATGGTACTACTGATAGCAGTGAAGACCTGTATTATCGGTTCCGCCATACCTATCAGGAGCCCCACGAATGATTGTCGGATTTCATCAGGAGACTAGAAGATTTGCTACAGCAGGTAGTGCGGAAGGAGGGCATCCTCACCAAGCGCATTGATTCCGCTAGGTTGGACCAAATCCTTCGGGGCACCCGACAAGATGGGTTGATGTTGTGGCGACTGCCGCTGAGGGAGCGGGCCCAAAACCCACCCCATTCCACAAGCTCATTCGAGAGATTCGTGAAGAGGAGCAGTGATTGTTTCAAGTGGATGCAGTGGTGCAGCCGAAGATGGCAGGAAGTCACACCACTACAGTGCTTGGAGAGATGGAAGATGCCCCGTCAGTGGCAGCAGCACTGCGAGATTTGACCCGAGAAGTGGCCATGATGAAGGCTCAGGGACATACTATGCCATCCTCAAGAGGGGAGAGTAGCAGGAGGGGTGATAGCCAGCAAGAAGGTTTCTGTTATAACTGTGGAAGAGATGGTCAGTATGCCTTGAACTGCCAAAACAAGACAGATCATGCAAGGGTATCTCAGAGATTGCAGCAGACCATTAGGAAGCTTCAGGGAAACACCAACAGGACTTGGGGAAGGAGCAAACCCAAGACCCTGAAATTCCAAGGCTCCCCAGAAAAAACCACAAACAGGGGTTACCCAGATGGGCTGATAGGCCCCCAGGCTATAATACCTGTTCGTATAGAAGGACGATTGTGTGAGGCATTGCTGGACAGCGGATCACAGGTCACCATACTCTATGAATCTTACTACCGAGAACACCTGCAGCATTTACCCTTGCATCCCCTGTCTGGCCTGACAGTCTGGGGAATTGGCTGTGACACCTGCCCCTATCTGGGATATATCCTGTTAAATGTTCAGTTTCCAAAGGATGTTGCAGGGGTAAACCAGGAAATAGAAACATTGGCACTGGTCTGCCCAGATCCAAAGGGAAGAAAGTATGCACCTTTAATCCTAGGGACAAATGCAAATCTGTTCCAGAGATTGGCGTGGAAATGCCGTGAGATGACAGGGAACAACTATCTGCAGGAGCTGCCAATGCACGCTTTATGTAAAGCTGCATACCAGCGAGCAAGGGGGCCCCCATCCCAAGAGAAGACCAAGGCTAGACCTTTTGGGAGGGATAGTTTCCAGTTTGGGGATTCTCCCATTCCTGCTGAGTGGAAGGACCGCCTGTGTGAGAAGTTAGTCAAGAGGAAGGCTGTTTTCTCTATGCACGAATGGGATGTTGGGTGTGCACATGATGTGGAGCACCATATCCAAATGCAGGATGGTCGGCCTTTTCGAGAGAGGTCAAGACGATTAGCCCCCACTGATATTGAAGATGTGAGCACCTACAGGAACTGGTTCAAGCAGGTATCATTGAGGAATCCAGGAGCCCCTACGCATCGCCGATCGTTGTAGTACGAAAGAAAAGTGGAAAGGTGCGCATGTGCGTCGACTATCGCACTCTGAACCGGCGGATGATCCCTGACCAATACACAATGCCCTGGGTGGATGACGCCTTGGATAGCCTGAATGGTAGCTGCTGGTTCTCTGTCCTTGACCTCCGCAGTGGATACTATCAAGTGCCCATGGCACCAGAGGACTGGGAGAAGACAGCATTCATCTGCCCTTTAGGGTTTTACCAATTTAATCGCATGCCTCAGGGAGTATCTGGAGCTCCAGCCATGTTTCAGCGACTCATGGAGCGGGTGATAGGGGACATGCACCTGTTGGAGTGTCTGGTGTACCTGGATGACATTATAGTGTTCGGGTGCACTTTAGAAGAAGACATGACTCAGCTGTGCAAAGTCCTGGATTGTTTGGAACAGGCTGGCCTCAAGTTATCCTTGGACAAGTGCATCTTCTGCCAGACATCCGTGCGGTATGTGGGACACATAGTGTCTGCAGATGGTATAGCTACAGACCCAGAGAAGGTGAAGGCGGAAACCACCTGGCTAAGGCCCACAACTCTCAAGGAATTACAGTCGTTTCTGGGATTCTGTGGCTATTACCGCAAGTTTATCAAGAATTTTTCGCACATCGTACATGCACTCACAGAGCTCACCAAGGGATACCCCCCCACTAATAACAAGAAGGGGAACTCACCTCGGCATCAATACTTTAATGTGGGTGCACCTTTTGGAAAGCGGTGGACTGCTGAGTGTGAAGAAGCTTTCCATAAATTCATTCAA